GTCAGCATACCTTTCGATTCTATGACACCTGCAAAAAATAAACACAAGAACATTTCGCATTTTTTTTTTTTTTTTAATTTTCTCAACAAATCAGTTTCATAGTAATTCCTAATGATCTCTCCTTTCATTTCATGCTCAAAATCATTATATTTAATTCATTAATTTTACTTTATTTTATTAGTACAGGTAGGTCCAGTTTTACGATGGCCCATTTTACGACTTTTCACATTAACAACCTTTTCAAAATTACCTAAAAAATTTAAAACAAAAAAATCGCAACTAAATAAGACATCGCAGCAACGCCTGTGAATCCAAACATGCAGTTGTCTTCCGTGGTGCATTGTGGGTGGAATGATAGCATTTAATTGAATTATAATATAGTCGGCTTGTTTTACAACTTTTCATTTTATGACCCTGTTTTACTGGAACATAACCCTATCATAAAACCGGATCTACGTGTACAAAGCCAGATTGATACCAACTGTACCCTTTCTGGTGCACGTCTCTGCACGCTTGCACCAACACTACATGTAAAGGCACTACACTTACCGCCAGACTCTGTCCAGAGACGCACCTTGCGATCAGCGCCCCCGGTGGCAAACATCTTGCCAGATCCCGAAAATGCAAGCGCATTAACTTCTCCCTCGTGTATCTCCTGAAACAGTGTGAATCGCCGCGCTGTACATTAGACTACAGCGTGGGGCGGCGCGTCGCATGTCGACGGATTAATCGCAACGAAACAAGAATAATGCTCTTGACACAATGCTGTTTTTATGATTGACCTTTTGCTGCGAACAGCACCGGATATAACGATACTCTAGACAAGTATCCACATGTAAGAGTCACTTATTCGCCCCGGAGAAAGAAAATTCACATATCTCCCTCATGGAGAGCATTACCACTTTCTGTAGAATTCATCCGACGACACTAGTTCTAGGGCTGGTTAGATATTAAACAAACAACACTGCGACCACATGTGGGAGTACTTTTCTGAGCACCCACAGCTATACATATAGCGGCACTTGGTGGTGGACCTTTTGAGAATGCACCAGCAAGCCCTAGACATAGTATCAGCACAGTACATGGAAAAATAGTAATCTCTTGCTGTGCATGTTGTTGCTTGCAACATAGTGTCTGTGTTGTATTATATCAGTGATAGTTAACCTGCCAATCAGCAGCAATCTCTACTAACCTGTTTCGCAAGAACTCTGCTGGGTATCGTTGCCAAGCCCCCGAATAAAGCGCCATCTAGCCGTGGACTGGAAAATCAAAACGCATTACATTTTATATCTCAGGTTTCAAAATGCAAAATCTTTAAAGGTCGCATGGTCATGCAATGCTATGACAGTAAAGTGCAACTTAGATTCATTGCTCATCTACCTAAATTGTAACTACTAATAACTGTACAAGATTAAGAAGGCATAACTTTATATAGTACAGTTGATAAATTGAACTGCATTCCTATAAACATAGAATATCACCTATTTTGATATAAAGCGATCTTGTTCATCAAATTTAATACGAATCAGACCAATAATAATTTGTAGAAAATTAATTTTTCATCTTATATTTTAACATTATGTTTAACAGGTTTACGGATGGATTTCGGCAGCAGCAGTTGTTTCGCACACGTACCACATTGTGTCCGACCCGGAGGACAGCCTGATGTCGGGTTGCATTTCCTTAGCAGCATCTTCTAGTTCCACCTTGCGCTTCGCCCGCTGCATTCTGAAAAATCATCATTATTAAATTGAGCAGAAAATAAGTTTGCCCAGCAATAAACAACCAGACTAAGTAATAATTATATATATATATATAATTATATAAATTATATATTGTTTGTTTTCATTTGTGTGTATATTATATATATATACATACAAATGAAAACAAAGAAAGAAGACATAAACCTCAATGAAAACATATGCACATTATTAAAAATTATTTAAAAAAACCAGGGGGCCGTTGTCAGAAACATCGTAAAGTTAATGCTAATGTTAATGCTAAGATCACACTTACGACTAATGTTAATGTTGCAAGACTAGCGTTGACAGAAACACATCGCAGCTATTAGAAAACTTACAATAACAGGAACTTCATCACAAGGCTGCTCATTGGATGAGAATCGATCACAAAATTCAAATTCATACAGATTTATTGTACATAACAGCAAGAGCTAATAATACCTAGAGTGTACAACGGAAAAACGGGAAAATAGTGCTATTTCACGACATGATTATTCTACTTTACCTGCGAGTCTAGAATAATTTCATAGTATTGCATTAAGCAGAATTCTTTGCTCTCTAAAACAAGACCAACCGCTTGTCAATACGATACTCCTAGGCGGAGATATTGGCTCGTAAACTTCCCCTCCCACAGGCCTCACGGCGCCTTGATATATAGGTGACCGTGCCAGAGCCATTGAAATAAGGCGCGTTCACACGGACGTTTTTGGCCCGAGCCTAATTAAGCCCGCGCCAGATTTGGCTCGAGCCGAGCGTTCACACGGACGTTTTTGGCCCGAGCCTAATT